CTCTCTCTGTGTGTGTGTGTGTGTGTGTGTGTGTGTGTGTGTGTGTGTGTGTGTGTATGTAACTGTCTTCATGCCTGAGAATAGGTGCGGAAGATATACTGCAGGGCTGTGAGTCGTAGTAGTGAGAAGCTCGTGGACTTCTAATGCAGATTTTTTTTATTTTTTTTTTGGAAAGTCGGTGCTTTCTACAATTGTATGAATTCACTCTTTTTGAGAAAGTCAAAACAAAAGTATAGTATGAAAAACTGAGACTAAGATTAAAGTGGACTCAGGTTCGGCTACGACAGTGTACAATCTTGAGAGTTGAGACTGAGTTGAGACTGATTACCCGAAGCAAGAGGGCTGAATTATCCTCTATTGAAGAGAAAGTATCCAGCTTGCTAGCTGTAATACCTTCCCCCACTCTCCCATCCTTCTGTTTCTCTTCCTTCTTCCCTTTCGAACTTTCCTATCCTCATCCTTGTCGCTCTCTCTCTCTCTTTCTTTTTTCATCAGTTAAGATTTTTGTGTGGTGTTTGATTTTGTTTTTTTTATAACCGAAAACGTGTGACGAGAGGTAACAAACAAAGTGGAAGTATGGTGTGATACATCTTCTGTGAGACGGGTAGAGTGATAGACATAGTGAACACACTCAAGTAGACAAAGGTTAATGATGATCAAGCAAATTTTGAAGTTTCATGCTCAAAATTCCGACTCTGTACCCATAGGACATTTAACCATTGCCCTTAAAGGTTCCCCTTCTCCATGTTTAACTGTTGTGTATTAGACTGCATGATTGTCTGCTATGTATTGGACTGCATGATTGTCTGTTGTGTATTAGACTGCATGATTGTCCGCTGTGTATTGTACTGCATGATTGTCCGCTGTGTATTGGACTGCATGATTGTTGATTCACCACTTTCAAATCGCCTTTGGGTCCACACATGGGGTTGCCTCAACTTGCCTGAAGGCAACCTAATATATCGACCTAAAGACAATATGAAAGTGGTGAATTAACCTGAAGTGGCTGAACCTGCCTGAAGGCGGTTTCACACAACCCCATGTATAGGGCCATAGACAATCTGAAAGCAGTGTAGTAACCTGAAGTGGTTGAACCGCCTGAAGGCGGTTTCAGACAACCCCCTGTATGGAGCCATAGACAATCTGAAAGCGGTGTAGTATCCTGTTGTGGCTGAACCGCCTGAAGGCGGTTTCGGACATCCCCATGTCTGGACCCACAAACAATCTGAAGGTGCTGAATCAAAGCTCGAATTTCTGAACCGTCTGGAAGCAGTTTAGTTGACCCCGTGTACATGTCAAGCATCAATCTGAAACTACTCTCTCAACCTGAAGTGGCTGAACCATCTGAAAGACGTTTCAGCAGACCCTATTTACATCTCCAGCATCAATTTGAAACTTTTTCATCAACTTGAAGTGGTTGAACTGTCTGAAATAGGTTTCAACTGCTCCCCATCCACATATCGAGCATCAAACTGAAACTGCTACATCAACCAGACTTTTTCATATTCTACTTTCATTACGTGAAAGTCACTGTGATAAATTGAAACCCTACTTTCAGAGGACCACCAAAAGTTAAAAGCTCAAATTTTTGAACCCTGTTTACATCTCCAGTATCAATCTGAAACTTAATAAACTTGACGTGGCTGAACCATCTGAAAGAGGTTTCAGCTGCTCCCCATCCACTTATCAAGCATCAAACTGAAACTGCTTCATCAACCAGAGTTCCTCATAATCTACTTTCATTACTTGAAAGCCACTGCGATAAACTGAAACCCCAGTTTCGGAGGACCACCAAAAATTAAAAGCTCAAATTTCAAATGACTCAGACACTTCAGCCTCATTCAGAGTTTTTCAATTTCAAACCCACTTATTCGTTTGAAGCTTCTGAATGAACCCGAACTGTCTGACACTGGTTTCAGAGGTTTATGTATTATACATTCAGTTGAACTATCTGAAAGTTGTTGAGCTGCTTCCTCAACCTTAAGTGGCAGAACCATCTGAACCAACTTGAAGTTGATGTATCACACCATATTTTTCAGCTTTGAAACACACTTTGTCCAGCTGCTTCCTCAACCTGAAGTTGTTCAGCTGCTTCCTCAATCTGAAGTGGTCGAACGTCTCAAACAACTTCAAATCTTCATCATTTAAAAACCCTCACCAATCAGCACGGAATATTCCAACGTGAAAGTCATTGTGATAAACTGAAACCCTAGGTTCAGACTAGGGTTTCAGAGGACCCAAACATGCAAAACGACCATATTCAGACCCAAACATGACTGAGGGCTGAAAAAAGTTAAAGGCTCAAATTTCAGCTTTTAAGCATTCTATAAAATATGAAAACGGTATGTTTCAGAGGACCCAAACATGCAAAATGGCCATATCCAGATGCAAAATTACCTGAAAAAAAACACTTAATTTCAAATTTGAAACGCACTTCAATTTATTCAAGTCTGAAAATTTAAGCTCTCGTTAACCGTTGGTGGCAAGATCAAGTCTCAGATCTAAGGCCCAAAAATGAGCCGGCGAACTCACATCAGCATTTTTCTTTATTTTTGTTGCTTAAATTCAGATATTGCAGAGATAATGCCCCAAGGGCCTTATCTCTGCAATCCGGACTGCACTCCTAGGATCTAGGAGGGATGAGGTCATCATTGGGCCTGCCCATCCCTACTGCTGCAGTCCCAACCTGGCGGCACATTTCCCTCCACTCATTCCTCCTCCTTTGTCTCATTCTCCTCCTTTCTCTCCCTTTTTCCCTCCCTCCTTCTTTTATTGTTGTAGAGGCAAGTGTCCAACAACTATTTCTCCTTTTTCTGGCTGTTGGACTTCACCCAAGGTCTGTTTTTGTGGCCGGCACATGGTCGTTGCACCTCGGACTACAATAGTGGCACCCCCAAGGCCAAAGGGGGCTCCTTTTGCCGCTGCCACTTCCAGTTTCGATACCCCCTTGCTTCGATTTTATCCGCCCAACTTTTTCTCCATGTAGAGCCGTTGGTACTCCGTTTTTCTTGGCCTTGGCTAGTTCGGAATAACCCGGACTGCTGGTCAGCCCCCTCATTACTACTATCCCCTCCTCTTTTTCCTCTCGGCACCTCCTGCCGGCGCTTGCTGCGGCGACACTTATCCCGTTTATCCGGACCCCTGGCCCGGAAGGTCCCGTCCACCTGATGTTATGTTATTTTATTTTTATCGTTGTCGTTGCATCTGATTTAGGACCCCCCCCTTGGGTTGCCCCAGGTGTCCTATGTCTTTCCCGTCACATGCCCGTCTCCCTCACTCCATTGACAATTTCTGTCAACGCCCGACTTCCCCTTCTTTTCCTACCGCTTCTAGTCCCTCCCCTTCGTCCGGCGTCACCCCGGGTGACGACCCGCTCGCGCGTGTCCCTCTCTCGGCCGGTTGCCAACTATCCTGCTGACGGTCCTGACCTTCGGCCCCCGTCCGCGGCTCCTAACGCTTTTATCCCATTGATACCTACCCTGCTAGCGGTTCCACCGGCGCCGCCATCCTGCCTAGGCCCACGTGGTTCCCGACACTTTGGTCCGCCCGCGCTTCGTCTTTCCCTTGGTCTTACGCGGTTCCTGGTACTTCGCCCTGCTGATACCACGCCATCCCTTGGTCCCGCGTGGTCCCTGGCACCTAGTCCTAACGGCACCGCACCTCTTCTTAGTCCCGGTGGTCCCAGACAATTTGTCTTGCTTGTACCATGTTTTCCTTCGGTGCTCCTGACGTCCTTCCACCTTACGGCGATCTCCGCTCCCTGCTCCTATTGCGTCCCGCACGCTGTTCCGCTCCGGGTGCTGGT